TCACACCTGTAATCCCAACACTTTGGGCGGTAGAGGCAGAAGGATTGCTTGAACCCAAAGTTCGAGACCAGCTTGGGCAACAATAGTGAGACCATGTTTCTGTGATATTTTTAATTAGCTGGGCATGGTAGCATGTGCCTATAGTCCCAGCTACTCCAGAGGCTGAAGTGGGAGACTCACTTGAGCCAGAAAGGTCGAAGTTGCAGTGAGCCATAATTGTACCACTGCACTCCAGCCTGGGCAACAGAGTGGTGAAACCCTGTCTCAAAAAAAAAAAAAAAAAAAAAAATTCAGATGTGCAGCCTGATTTGAGAACCACTGTGGTAGCACAGTGCTGTCCAATACAGCAGCTACCAGCCATACAGCCATTCATGGCTCCTTAAAGTTAAATCAGCTAATATGAAATAAAGTTAAAAATTTAGTTCCCAAATTGCACTGGCCACATTCAAGGGCTCAATAACTACAGGTGACCAGTGACCAGTGACTACTATGTTGAGGAATGGCAGATATAGAACATTTCCATCATCACAGAAAGTTCTACTGGATGGAGATGTTCTAGAACATCAAAATGTCAAAGAGTCAAAATTCAGCTTTTCTACTAACCCCTGAAGATTGTTCTTTCCAAGTCTACCTGTCTCATCTTCTCCCTGAGCTGTAGACCTCACAGCAGAATTCAGTCGTCTAGTACTCCTTGGCTTCCAAGAGCAACGCCAGTATTAAACTACACGATGACAGGGGCTTTCATTCATCACTGCAACAGGAAAGATGATATTCAGTGATTCCCTGATTTGCCCTAAATCTCACAGCAAGGAACAGAGTCATGACTTTAAACCAGGCTTGTTTCTATCAAAACACAAGCTCATTTATTCAGCCCAACCACTCCTCCACTGGGACTCCTGGCCACATCTGAGCTTTCTCCTCCAAAAGGAAAGGCCCTGAGATGTGATCTGCTGACCACAGGGTTTCCATGTCAGCCACTTCCATGTCATTCTGACCCCTTAACTGCTACCATCTACAAGGTCAGCTACTGCAAAAAAAACTACATGGATGCATTTCAGTAAGCTTGCCTAGTGGTGGCCAAGGAACAAAGGGAAGCACCATCCTCTGCCTGGCTGGTAAGACTTGCTGACAGGGGCACTTCCGATCAAAACATTGCCTGGACCTTAGGAGCAAGGTGCGTTACAGGAATGCAAAGAAAGGAACCAGCTCATGCAGTGGACAGGAGCTCAGGCAACTTCTAAGACAGGAGTTTCCAAGGGAAATGCCACAGGTTTGGGGCTCCCGTGGTGTCCTGTTGCCTGAAGCAAATTCGCTTATTTTGTATCATTTTAGTACCTGAGAGAAAACACCTGGCCTCCGTTTGACTGCCATTGGCTTGATTTAAACTTAAAATTGTGTGCAAGTATGATCAAGTTTCTCTCTCCTACTGTGTGTGTGTGTGTGCGCGCGTGCTAGCCGGAGGGAAAGGATTGAGGAAGGAGGAAATGGGAGCTAAGAATATTCCTAAACACAATGAATGTTTACATTTTAATTATTTTCAATTATGTTTTCACAAGCCATCAAAAATGGTACAGGAAGATGTTAAAAGGGGTAAATTTTGAGTACATTCATCCCAGTCTAGAAGAACATAAGTAACTCACATCATGATGGATTCGGGCCCCTGACTATCAGGTGTAGACTTCCATATTGTCTTATGTACCTTCTTTTTAAAAATTTATTTTTCGTACAGATGGGGTATTGCTAGGTAGTCCAGGTCTGTCTTGAATTCCTGGCCTCAAGCAACCCTCCCTCCTAGACCTCCCAAAGCACTTGGATTATAGATCTAAGCCACCATGGCTGGCCTTATTTACCTTCTTAAATGTATTCATAGTCACCCAGAGTTACTGCTTTCTTTTTATTTTGTCAACCTTTCCTGTCTGGTGAGTTGCTGCAACTGTGAATCCCAGGCCAGTGGCCTGAAGACAAAGCAAATGGCTTTGAGCCTTTGAATCCTGGACAGGCCAGGGCTTCCTCTATTAAACACACAGAAATCTAACTGCACCCGAGTACATCATCTCACAAACAATGCAGAATGGTTTTCTGCTTTAATGTCAAAATTATAATTCATATTACTACCTTATAATTTGGGACTTTTTCTCCCAATAATGCTATTATCCAGTCCATGTTTTGGTGGTGGCAATTTTATTCTCATGGATGAATATGGCAACAACCATGATATAAATAGATAAAAGCACTTGGTTAATTTCCTCAATTCTACAAAAATCCAGGACACCAGCAAGAACAATTTTTTGATGGAGAAACACTGACTGTATCCACTTGGGCCACAAGCCAGGGTCTTTTAAAAACTAAGAATCAGAACCTAAAGCCCAAGTTGGAGACTCCTTTTGCTAATGGTATGATCACTTGGCTCCTCTTGGTCATGAGCCCTTTGATCATGACTGTCAGCCAATACGGAAGCTAGATGCAGACTTTCTTTTGACTGAGGCCCTGGAGAAGCCAGGAAGTAGTGATGAGGCCCACTCTGCATGAGGTGTCTGCTTGCAAATCCAGCTCCCCATTTCAGGGGTGAAATAAGAAGCAACTGCTCACTCCTTTCCACTCCCTAATGGCTTTATACCTGCTTTGTTTTGATTGCTGCTGCCTCAGACTGCTCCTTAATCCTGTAAAACAAAAGACTCTGCTACCTGTTGAAAGGCACGAACATGCCCAGAGTCCACTGCCATTTCCAACCCAATGGGGTGCATGGGATGGCATTCAGATTGTGCATGCAACTGGTCAAACATGGAGAGGTTTCTTGTCCCTTACCTATAGAGACGGGGCTAGCTCAGGCCAGAACTACATGAAGCATTTGGCTGAGTTTATTTGGGCTTGATTTCTGATTACCATGCCAGTTGCCCAGGGGACAGGCAAATCACACACAGATGATCTGATCTGATTTTTAAGAAGTAGTCTGATTAGTTCACTTGTTTTAACAACCCAATCAGATTGACTAGGTGGCAATGCATTGATTTTATGGCCCTGCCTGAATCAATCTGAATAAAACCATTTAGTGGCACTTATAAACACAGCTGAATGTAGACAAGTAGGATGAAATCTTTCCTTTAAGCTCTTGAGGAATAGAAAATAAAACTACTTAGATAGTGTCTCTACTGAGGAGATTATGTATATAAGGCTAACGCGACCCTGGTTTCCTTGGTTTCTATTCTATCCTAACTTCCTAAACAGAATTCAACTTCTTTTCCGAGTTTCATTCCACAGACATCCCTTCCTTGCATACATTAAGCTCCCAAATTTGTAATTGTGACAGATAAGGACAGAGGACAAAAGGCACATGTGTAAACTGTCAAATAGTTTATTTCCCCAGGGATTATGAAATCTCTGGCCTCTGACCCAGGGCCCAAAGACAGATTGATTATTTTCTGAAATAAAATTGATCCAATGGAATATATGCAAAACAGGGATTCCAAAAGATTCTTGGTCAACACCATTTGACTAACAACTTACTCCCTCTCCTTATTAACAGTCACACTCCTTTCTAGTTGGACAAAAGAGTGATGTTTCAGGGCTTTTCTTTGGACTGCCCCCTCTGGAATGGCCAGGTCTCTGCTTCATGACTCCTCATGCTCCTTAGACATCACTCAAATCAAAAGGCCAGTTGATTACAGTTCTCCTGGAATTAGAGTGCAGTGCATATTCCTAACGACTCTTCTTTCTTGTTGGCTGTGCCCTCCCTACGTCTCAGTTTTCTCATCTGTAAAATAAGATGGTTGACGTGACTCATCTCTGAGATCCCTTCTAGCACTTGTATTGTATGATGTGATTTGATTTGATTGATTTGATTTGATTTATTTATTTATTTGAGATGGAGTCTCACTCTGTCGCCCAGACCGGAGTGCAGTGGGGCGATCTCGGCTCACTGCAGCCTCCACCTCCTGGGTTCAGGTGATTCTCCTGCCTCAGCCTCCTAAGTAGCTGGGACCACAGGCGCATGCCACCATGCCCGGCTAATTTTTGTAGTTTTAGTAGAGATGGGTTTTACCACATTGGCCAGGTTGGCCTCAAACTCCTGACCGCAAGTGATCCGCCCAGCTTGGCCTCCCAAACTGCTGGGATTACGGGCGTGAGCCAGCGAGCCCAGCCCCATTGTGTGATTTTAATAATACATTCTGCTGGTATTTGCATAGACATTTCTATCCTGTACAGCAATTTTGTATCTATAATCTGCAATGCTCCTATTCCATTGCTCTAGGAAAACAGACCCTTCAATTTCTTCAGAAATATTGGCCTGTCAGATCAGATCAGATCCCCAAGGGTCCATCAGACTTACTATGGTAATATGCTAAGTTCCTAGGGCTGCCATCATGCTGACCATTGGGTTTGCAGCTGATTCTAGATTCCTTAGGCATGATAATGCCTGGTTTGTTTGAGAGTTAATGCCACCCACAAGTGTTTGATGTGGCAAGGACTGTGGCATGAGGCAATGAACTCTAACCATCTTGTGCTGAAAGACAGAACTTTTCTTTCTTATAACTCAGCTTTTATCAAGACTTTAAAATGCAGCCAAGGCATTAAAGAGAGAGAGGGAAAAAAAAAAGAACTTTGGAAGGTTTTTATACTTTTTGTAAAAAAAAAAAAAAAAAAAAAAAAAACTTTCATTTTTTTTAACCACTACCAAAATCTCCTCCAAACACACAGACCCTACAGTATCCCTATTAAATTATATAGAGCGAGTCCAGCCCTTGACTGTCAGTAGGGCCCATCAGTCCTAATTTATCGCCCCAGGAAACACAGTACAATTATGGTAATAAATAATAATAGGGTTCAGTACATGACAACATGAATGATGGAGCCTCTCAGAATTCATTTACATTGCTTTGTGTTGCAATCATCATGCCTCTAATGTAATGCCAAGCAAATGAGCCCCTTTGAATATTGTGCAATCTATTGCAAGTCAACTGGCACAAAACTCACTCAATAAATCATGTTCAAACACATGCCTGTAATGACAGGTAAATCAACAATGAAGTAATTGCATTTAATGTATTGAAATACTGGACAAAAAAAAAGTGACCTCAAAGTGACTTTTTGTAAAAGGTATGATACAGTTACAACAGAGAGTGAGATCCTTCCTGAGAGGCACGGCTTGCTTAGATGCACATGCCAGAACTGATGATGATGCTGTTTCCCAAGCAGATCTTGATTTACCTCTTTTCTCTGCAGTAATTACGGGATCAGGATGCCAGAGGCTTCAAGGGTTCACTACCTTGAACGTAATAGTCACAGGTAGAATGGAAATCAGCCTCAAGTACAGCCAGCTCTTTTGTGCCTGAGCCATCACCAAGCTCTAAGTTTTGTAGCCAACTCTAAAGGCAACCTGATGAGGAGGAGAGACAAAGCGTCAGGAGTCAGAAGGGCTGCATCCCTGCCCCAGCTCTGGTATTCACTAAATCACTGCATGACTCTGGCCAAGTCACACTACCTCTCGGTCCTTTGTCTGTGAAATAATGCTGTTGGACTGTCGTAGCCAAAATTCATTGCAATTCAATGAAGCTCTGATTCTGATTAGAGGCCTTCACTTTTAAGCAGACAGAAAAGAGTTCCCTGCTCTTCCTAGAGCTATGCTGTTCCTGAGCATTGAAGGCACTGGTTTAAACCGGCATGCATCTCTCCTCATCATTGCCGTTGGCCAGGCCAAGTGTATGTGCTTCTAATTTCTGTGAATCCTGGGCCTGCCCCTTTCTGGGCAAGCAGACAAGTCTGAAAATAGGGCCCCAGGGGCTATGTGGATGAATAACAGACAACATTGAAATGACAACCTTCCCTTCCTTCCCCATCGCATCCACCCCAGCTCCCCTCTTCCCAGGGACAACGTCAAGAAGAGATGAAGCAGAGCCTCTGCAAAGCCAAAGGCCACTTAAGGAACTTTCCTGTTCTTGTGAAAAACTCATTCTTGGCTAAAGGGCTTCCCAGGCCTCCCCACTAACCCGCCTTCCTCTCTCTGCTCAATCATCAGTCCCTGACTGTTATCAAAGTAGCTCTCATGAACCCCATAATCTTGGAGATGTGGAGACTTGGAAAAGCAGGGAAAAAGAGCACTAAATTTAGAGTGAGAAGATCTGGCTTTAAGTACTGGGTCTATAGTTTATCGACATGTGATTTTGTGCAAGTCCCTTAAACTCTCTGTGCTTCTATTGCTTCATCTGTAAAGTGATAATAATACTCACTGTGTCTCCAATGAGGTTGTTGTGAGGACAGGATGATATAGATGAAAAGGTTTTGCTAGTTGTAAAGCACAATACAAAAGTCTCATTTTTGTCATAATTTGGGAGTAAAGAACACTCTGACACAAGTTTACTGTGTTCTGCACTCAAACAGTGCTTCTTATCATAAAAGCAATCATCTTGTTTATTTGTCTGGGTATTTTTATTGTCTGACTCTCCTGAGAGTCAGAAGGAACTTGGAGAGTTTGTTCATATTGTTCATGTGTTACTAGCACCTAGGACAATGTTAATTAGCATGTATTGAATACATGAATAAATGAATGAATGAATGAATGAATGAATGATAGCTTTTCTTTCCTTTAGGAAATTACAACAAAACACTGAACTTCAAGGTATTTTTCAGAAATGTATTTGATGCAAACCTGCCCCAACCTGTAAACATAACCTCCTGCTCCATTTACTTTTTGTGCTGAAATGGAGCTGTTTAGGGGGAGATGGCTTTGTAAGCAATGACCCCTACTGGAGGGGTAGCAATTGGAAAGTCTTTCATGCCCACTAAAATGCCTTCTGAGGCCAAAACTGGGCCACAGTTTCCCAGGCAACAACAATCTAGAAAATGACAGCTCACTTCAAAGCAGGAAGGGATCTGGGAAGCTGGAAAAACCCACAAACATTTCCATATTAGAGAGGTGTAGGAAGTCATGGTTAATGAAAACTGAAAACCCTTGAGTGAGAGCTAACAGGTTTCTATTCTTAGTGTCGTACGTCCATAGACCCCATCCACCCTCTTTAGGATGTCATTCTGTCACCGAACCACGAAGGCTTACTCATAGATTACCTGTGTTCCTTCTTGAAGCAGGCCCCACTCTCCTGATAGCTCCCATATGATACACTCTGATTAGCAAGGCAGCATCAGGCAGAACAAAAGCTCCATTAACCAGGGCTGGTGGGCGGGAAGGCAAAGCCAGGGGCCCTGAGAAGGGACAGAATGAAACAGAAAAAGTCTAATTTTAGAAAATTGTTACCAGTTGCAGGATGATGAGAATGTTCCCTAAAGATGGGAACATCAGGAATGGAGGGACCCGGCTTTTCTACCTGACCTGTTAGCTCTCTGATGGGAAATGTCAGCCATGTAGTTCTTGGGTTTTCTCAGCACTGCTGGATTCAGATTGATCCTGGAAGCAAGACAGGTGTTTGGCAGCAAATTGCTACCAAGTAACGAGTTGCTACTCGGTAGTTACAACTCAAAGGCCACACCCTCCACCCTTGGGATTCAAAGGTCCCCTTCAGAAAACAGCCAAGGGCAAGCTGCCTCTAGAGTTAAGGAGGAGGAAGATGGCACCCTATGTCACAAGGCAGCCTCAGGCTGAAGGTACAGGTCTTCTGGTAAGCCCTTTTCAACCAAACACAGTATTGAAGTCAATGGATTGTCGTTTGATCAGTCAGTATGAAGGATGAATATGTACCCCAAAATTCCCACAATTAAAAGGACAGCCGTATCCCCTCAATTCAGCTTCCCTCAAGTCCCTTTTCTTTACTCTCATATCTACCATCAACTCCCTCCCATCTCCATCATCTAATTCCTCTCAAGAACTCAGGGACAGGGCATAAGCTCTTGCCTTTCGCCATTTGATTCAGCAGCTCCCAAGAGCTGCAGCCCTGCTTGGGAAATGGTTCTGCGCAGGCAGCTTGATTAATGACTGAGGGTCAGCAGATGTCACCTCTTCCACTGAATCCCCAGGGTGCATGCACAGCTCAGCTGGAAACGGGACACCAGAGGACTCTGAGTGAACCCAAGAGTCAAGGGCAAATCCACATGATACCCAACAGGAAGGCCTTCCACTGGTTTTCTCCATCTTCCTTTTAGAGTGGATGCTTGGTACTCATTCTTTAAAAGGACCCCTCTCCTTGGAGAATACCTAAATGAAACATGCAAACTGGTGAGGAGAAATTATGATCTATGATTACCTGGATGCCCCAGGACCTCAGGCAGTTACCTGAGGAATCTTAGTACCTGAGAGGAACGCCTATCGTTTTAATGGGAATTTTCCATAGACAAGCATTCGATTTTGTTGTTGATTTTTTTTCTATAAATACCCCTTTCAACCCTACTTACAGGAAGCAATCATATATTCTGCTAAAATGGACTGAGATTATACTTTATAGTTTTCAGCCACTCTTGAGAATTTCAGGCTGGGCACAGTGGCTCATACCTGTAGCTCCAACACTTTGGGAGGCGAAGGTGGGAGGATCACTTGAGGTCAGGAGTTCCAGACCAGCCTGGCCAACATGATGAAACCCCCTCTCTACTAAAATACAAAAATTAGCCAGGCATAGTGGCATGCACCTTAATTTCAGCTACTTGGGAGGTTGAGGCATGAGAATTGCTTGGACCCAGAAGATGGAGGTTGCAGTGAGCTGAGATCATGCCACTGTACTGCAGTCTGGATGAGAGAGCGAGACTCTGTCTCAAAAAAAAAAAAAAAAGAATTTCAGCCCAGGTACCAAGAGCACACTGCATGTGCACATTAGAACCAGCAATAGAGGGAACTGCAGTGGTGAAGGGAAGCTCCCACGTAGACTTCAGTCCAGAATTCAAGGTGCCTTTGCTGTCTCTGAAATACAAACACTTAAGATATACTTTTTCTTTCTAATTAATGTTTTAAAAATTTTTACCTGAAACTCTGAATTTTAGGATTCCAGGCTATCCATTATGAATTATTCTCATGCTTGTATTAGGATATTTTTTTCTGGGCTGTTTACTGCTGAGAACAATCTTTCCATATAAAAATCCCTTAGAACCTGAGAGCTTAAGATCAACCTCCTGAGTGGGAGACTGGGCATATCTCCTCTACCTTCATGTTTCCTCCAAGCTCAGACAGAAAACAACCACGTTTCAAACTCAGAAATAGTAAATTAATCAAAGGGACCTTATGGATCATGGAATCCAAATCATCATCTTCCACATGAAACAACTAAGGCCTAGAGGGGTTAATGGTTGATTTGGGGAGGTATGAATAGATGTGCCAGGACTGAGGTTGGAAGCAGGGTTCATGTTCATTCCAAAATAAAACATTTTTCCTGGTAGTTGACAAATGAAAAGTTATAGGCCAAGATGAGTGAAAGCACACAAACTTGCTAACTCAACTAGTCAGAAAAAGGGCTGAACTGAATGCCAGGAAATATTACCCTAAGTGTGTTCTACAGAAGTAGTCATTTTTGAGATGCTGCAACCAAAAAGAGTTATCAAATTATAAGAGAGAAATATCACTGTAAACAAACCTGTTTAACTTAGCATAATCCAACATTTTCTAAAGTTCTTAAATCAAGATTCTCAAAGATCGCTCTTTCTCTTTCTCTCTCCTCCCTCCCCACAGCTGCTTTGCATAAAATGTATTAACATACTATATAGAGCTGGCATTCTTCCACAGTGCATACTTCAAGAAATGTTGGTAAAGGGGAAGGAACTCTGCAAGGAATAAAGAGGATTATCCTCTGGTCATGGAATTTAATTATGCTACTAATCACCTGTGAACCTTCAGCCAGTCATGTAATTCCTCTGGGTCTCCGTTTCCTAATCCCTTAAATGGTGGTGGTTAGGAGTGTGATGGTTGGCAAGATAAACCCTGCAGTCCTTCCAGTTCAAAATTTCTATGATGACCTGATGTTCGCCTTCCCAGCAAGACTAGGAGATTGTGCCAATCAGAAAAGCCAGAGGTTTGCCCTATATGGACAGCTTAGGCAAGGCACTTGTGTTTGATATGCTCTTCTGTTCCAGCTTGAGGTAAGGAAAGGAAGAAGATTTTAAAACACAGGATTCTCCAGTGGATAACAGTCAGTTCCTCAGGGGTACTAGTTTGAGCCTGGCTGTTACCAAGGTAAAACCGTTTTCTTGTTAAACTTATTAAGTCTGCTAAGTATTCAAATGAACCTGATTTTTTTCTCATCTTTTTTCTCATGAAGAAGTCAACAAAACATTGAGCCCTTTGATTAAACCTCCTCCCCAACTTCCCAATGCTGAAATAACCCATCCATGCATCGCCCAGGGGAGATGTTGCCTGGCTTCACAGGAAGCTCAGAAATAGCCTATCCTATCAAATCACATAAATCCCTGAAACTTTCCATCTTGTTTTTACGATAATTATTAACTTTCTTTTTTCTTTCCTTTTTCTTTCAGGATCTACTTTGTGCTGCAGGCCAATAGCCCAGCTACGCATCTGGGTCCCCAGCAAGCGCTCTGTGCTTTTTTTAAAAACACGCACACATGTTCTGCCTCTTATTTCCTGAGCAGTCGCAACACCTGGAGTGGTCAGAGTCCAAAAAAGTCAGGCCAGGAAATTGAGTTCTTCTTGACTCCTGGCTGGGACATTTAGCCAGGAACATTATGAATGTGTTTTGTAACTAACCCTCTACGAGAGAAGAACAGGCCCCTGCCAAGGAATTCACGAGACCCTGGAGTTCGCAAAGAGGGAAGAGAAGAGAAACCTCACTGATCCATCCGACAAGGAGCTGGACAATTTGTGATTTCATCTCAAATGTTCCTTATCTCCTACCAAGCAAAAGGAAACTAAATATCACTCTCCCTCCTACATGCACACATACATAAAAGAAGAAATTTTTTAAAAGAGAGAGGAGAAGAAAAAAAACCTGGAAGCATTTTTGAAAGCAAAAGGCTGTTTATTGCTGCCAAAGTGCTGATTTTTTTTTTTCTGCCTCTGGCAACTGTATGAGAATTGGAGACTTCAGCAGAGAAGAAATCCATTCACTTGTCATCGCATAAAACCTCTGTGTTCCACAGAGGAAATGGCAAAATTTCACCCTTAACTGGATTTGTAAATTCTTACAGGGGGCTGGGAGAGGGGGTGGAGGAGAGGTCAGACTGTTCTACATCCTGGGGCTTTCGGTAACCTCACTCTGCCATGTGAGGGAACGGCTTGTCCATCACAGCAGCCTTATGTCAGCAGGGGACAAAGGTAGAGGCTGAAGAGTCAGAACGGGGCGGGCACCAGTCCCCAGCCCAGGCCACAAAAGAGCAATTCCAGCCTGCGCCACTGCGGAGGGTTCCATCTAAATGTCTTTTAAATGACTCAAGCACTGGGGATGTTTTCTTTTCCCTGGAGTATATCCCACAGCCTTTTTAATAATGATTGTTCGAAACAGTTGCTTGTGATTAAGCTTAGCACTGTCACATTCAGTCATTGTGCTAAGCCCAGTATTCATTTCCTCTTTCCCTTTCCTGCGTGTGATTTTTCTTACTATCCATCTACTACCTGTCCTGCTGGATTTACCCCCATTCACAGAGACAAAGTAAAAACAGCAGGAGAGAGCCAAAGGTCATTTAGTCCGTCCAGTCATTCTTATCAGGTCAGCTATCCCATTCTGACCCTCTAGGTGTGATGTTTCCATCTCTTTTGCCAAATTCTCTTTGTTCTGCTGTTTTCCATTTTGATATAAAAGTCAAAGTGTGGCGATGGCAATATTCCTAAACGTCCCTGTATCAAATTCTCCTGACTTTCAAAGTGCTGAGGTCAAGATCCAGAAAACTCGAAACCAGAGGAAATCAGGTTGCTAGCATGCCGGGACCGTTATGATGCTCTCAGCCTTAATTAGGTGTAAGTAACATCTTGTCAGTGTTCTGCCACATATACTAAAGCTGCCGGGGCAATTTTACCGACTCTGACAGCTGAAATCAGAAACAAGAGAATCAACATGTCAATGATGTGGCTGGACATGATGGATATATTAAGAGGAGTCTGGAAAATTCTGGACTTCATTACATCGACTCTACTTCTCAAAAGTTCCTGTCAAAAGAATCTCAGCCTCATCAGAAAAGCTCCTCTGGGATCTGATTACACCCAATTACAGGGCCTCCCACAGCCACCTGGACACAGGGGTACTTCTGCCCAAACTCATTGGAGGAGTGATTAAGGGAAGATGAGAACAAGGAAATTGCTGATTTTGGTAAAATTTCTACAAATAGATCTATTGAGATTTAAAAGGTGCAATAACTTGACATTTTTGGTAAGTTAAAAACTGCTTAAAAATTGGTTTGCAGGTTGTTTCTTTTTCCGTCTTGGCCCCGGGCTATTTTCAAAATGAAAAGAATGGGATCAAGTCCTGAAAACTGAGGTGGAGTTGAAGGCAATAATAAAATTTTAAAGATGACAAAGAGGAAAGTGATAATCTCCTGAAAGTGTTAGAGGCACACTTGACTTCAGATGGCGAGTTTCTCAGAAGGAAAGAATGAGGGCAAGAGAAAGGAACTTCTTCTGCTAAGGGGCTGGCGCATTAGCAGGTTGGCCTGAACATGGCTCTTTCTTGTCCAGTCCCAGGGGTGCTGTGCTCTGGAAGGCGTCTGCAGCCAAGACCCCAAATATTGACACATCGTGAACTGCCATTGACATGTCATTTTAAGGATGGGAGAATGCTTGCTGCCCCAGCCAGGGAGAGAGAAGATATAGTAACCAGTGACAGAGCTGGTCATGCTGATATGGCATCATGTTCCTGGAAGATTCCATATCTGTCGATCATTAAATAAGAGGGCTGAGCCCAGGCTAAAAATACAGCATCACGAGTGCCTTGCAGAGGGACTCACAAATACCTTTTTGCCTGCTCCATTCCCTTTAAAAGTAAGAATTGTCAATCAAAAGTGTGTGTTTACATTGCTGAATGACAAGGTTTTAAATCTCAGACTTGCTGCAAAGACTCATGTCTACGTAGTGCCGAGAGTGCAAGGCTCAAAGAGGGAGAGTCTCCATGGATTTCAACGGGAACACCTAGCTTTATAATGGGCCTTTCTATATCACCGTTTTGGCTAGGGGTCCATATGAATTTGTGGTGATATTAGGCAGAGGCTCTGTGGCCTGGCAATGTTGACACTGCTTCAGAAGTTTAAACAAATGTTGCGTGAGTTTGGAAGTGATGAATAAAAGTCAGTGAAATGGTTTGGAAACAACAGTGGGAAGGGGAAAGCAGTTGTACATTACCTAGTAAGGAAATCATCTTGCCTTTCTATTTTTTCCCCCCACAAGCAAAAAGCAGAAAGATTCCACAGGCTTTACTCTGTTAACAAGTAATGGATCATTTTTCTTTCTTTTCCTTTTCTCAGTAGTGTAAATGCTAACTGTTTCCCCCTCTGTCTTATGCTGGATTGGATTGGAAACCTCTTTCCCAAATCACTCTGCAGGCAATGAATCATCAGTCCTGGTGGCTA